TTTTTTTTTTTTTTTTTTTAATATTATTTATATGAAGGGTACGCATTGGCCAGGTTGGTGGAATCAGTAGAGAGGGATCCTTGTCTTTAGGTTTGGGTGGTTCTTCTGTCTTTGGTTGACATAAAATAAGATGTAGACAAAACCCTAATGGAAGGGAAGAAAGTGGAAAGACAGCACCTTTTCAATTGTTTTTTGTATTATGGATAGGGCTCACATGGTTTTGCTTTGTAATTTGGCTCTCATAGAGTTGAATATCTTTCTTTCATTAAGTTAGGTGATGTGGTGGTTGTATCCATAAAGCAAAATCATATTTTCATTTAATTAGGGTTTTCATTAAAAAAAAAATTATCAACAATTTTTGGTCCCATCTTTTCATTGTCATTTACCTTAATCTCCTTTTTAGATATATAAGGATTTGCAAATGCCCTCTATTTTTTTCTAGAATTATCATCCATTTTGTCGAATTTTCTAGTCTCAAATCATTTTGTTAACATTAGCATTCATATTGTGTCCCACCATCATTTATTTTCTACTTTGACTTATTTGTATCGCAATTAACGCAACATAAATTCTGATATCAATCAAATTTGATGTGTTTAAATATGAGAAGTTAAAATTTGTAAGTTCTTGACAAAAATAACTGAGAAATGGAAAAAATCAATGGAATTAATCAGAGTTCACCACATGGCAACAAGGATGACAACCCATACATACAGAGCTTTTGGCTTTGTCTACAATCCTGTTCCTGCCTTTGACCTTTCTATATATATTTGCGCACAAATTTTATTCATTGGAAAATGGATTTCGAGGTTGCCCCATATGCTTGATTTCATGCGTATAATGTTAATCTCAGCCTGTAATAAAATAGACAGGTCTTCTCCTTAGTTCAAAGAATCTTTTTTCACTTTCTCCCTGCACTAAAAAGCAAGAGCAACATATATAGACAGCGTTGGATGACTTCTTTATAGATCTTCATTACAAATAGCCTAAATCTTGGGAGCACTACTTTCATTCATTACTCATCTTATTACTCTTATTACGCTCTCCAAGGTTCTCTTCTGGGGACATTGAAGCAAAAGTTCATGTATGGAGCTTCAAAAACTTTCGAATTCATCACTAGTTCTTCTTTCTTAACGTTATTAAACCGTTTTCAACTGTTTTACTTAACAAAGTTTCTAAACTTCTCAATAATCATGCCATAATTTGCACAAACTAATCTTTAAAAATACTTACATATGTATAATTGTGTGTATGTGTGTGTATATAGAAAAATGAAGTGCAATTTACTCTATACATGTCTCACTTAACCATTAGTAAATGGGGTGAATCCCTTAAAATTGACAACTCACCCCTCCATCAATGATTAAAAATAATGCAATTCATACAGTGCAAATTATATATACTATAAGATTCTCATGTTTTGATAGGAGTAATTAAATTGGTTTCTAATTTTCTCCATATAACATAACTTGGTAAGGGGTCCATTTTGATGTGATTATGTTCCTGTGCTTCCTATGTTGATCATGCCATTATTGAACTTCATGATGCTCTTTATATATGACCATGGCAAACATGTCTTAATTAATTCAAATCCACATTTAAGATAATGATTAAGATGCATTAACCAAAGTGAAGTGATATGATTACTTGCCATTTTAGAGAAGTTTTGGAGCGACCAATGATCTTGCGCCACATGTTGAGGAGCTTCCATAATCTCAACATAATGCATAGAGCATAATTTCATGCCACTAGTTCTGTCTTCAAATTATTAATTACTTTCTATTTGATTTAGGTTTGAGCTTAATCTTTGAGTTTTTGATTGCCAAAAACAAAAAGGTTCTTTCAGTCCGGACTGGCAGAAATTACGTTTATGCCATTGATGAAATGTTTATGATTAAGAAGGCATAAACATAATATCCAGCTTAGACTAACAAATTTTTTTTTTTTTTTTTTGCCTTTTTGTTTTGCAATCCAGACCAAAAACTGCCTATTCTTATAAAAAATAATTCCATGGGGTTCCCTTTGTTGTCTTAAAGATTGACAGAACCAATATGGTCAATTCTTTTAGAGCATAATGTCAAATAAGATTGATCTTTACAGCTATTGGATGAATATCTTGAATTAAATAATTAATGGTTGAATAAAGGGGAAGAATAGAATGCAGAATACAACTTTTGTTTTGGAACAAACCTAAGTGGTGCATTCCTAAAGAAAAGTTATATTAATTTATTAGAGAATCTCTTGCATAATTTGTTCATAAAATGTGTACCTTCCATTAGAATACTTTTGTTTATCTTATTCATGAATTTGGTCAATCCACAATAGCATAAAACCTCTCTTGTTTCTTGTTGAGGTAAAAACTAAAGACCTCTTTTCTCCTCGGCTCACAGTCCACACAGAAATTCTGTGAACTGGGTGATGGTCCCTAGTTATTGTAATCAATTGTATAAACTGACAGATACAAAATTCAGTAACACTTGAGCTTAAAAGAGAGAATGAAAAAAAGGGGAAAAAAAAAGGAAGAGATCTTGAGTAGGAGGCTTACTTGCTATTCTACTTCAGATTTAAGAACCACAGACAAGTGAATCTCTAAAGGACTGAAGCAACATTGATGCCTACTTGCAAGATTCAGTCCTCAGTACTTGGTATACTAGGCCACCCTTGATCAGCCTGTAACCTCACAAACTCTGCCAAGAGTTTAATCTCATCTTCTTGCAAACGGGGCCCAAATGTGCATTGCCCCCTTGGTGTGCAGTTCTCACCAAATCCCTGCAAATTTGAAGTCTAATCTCATCCCATGTTCTTAAGTGAAAATTTAAAGTTCTTGTTGAATATACTTACAGGCATTCTTCCCTTACCAAAGTAGGTCACACGGTATATCTCCTCTTCTGTGTCAACTCCATTTCTGGGATGCAGTCACTAAAATACTCAGTTTCAGGGGTTATGTTTAAACTTCGAAGCATTGTTGGGAATTTCAGTTCATGTTATATTTAAGAGAAAATAGAGACGTGAGACAATTTAAACCTTCTGATGGATTCAGTCATCTCACTCCATTATGGGAGTTAAGCCAGTTCTTCCATGGAAACCAAGAAGCAGAACTTAGAGAAAATTAGCTTAATTATCTACTTTGAAGACACACGAAACACCAGGTCATCGAATTCTTTTACTTCTAAGGTTCTGTAAACTATCATTTTCTTTCACTAGTTCAATTTCGAATTCACATTTTTATCCTGTTTTTACAATTCCTCACCAATGGCTTTTGGCTGCAATGTCTTTCAACAGTATCTAAAGGCTAATTTAAGGATAGATATTATTAGCATAGTTGTTAGCATTCAAAACAATGTAATCCGTTGCTGATGAACTGAGTCTATGGTTACCTTTCTAGGTCTTTCGTAAAGAGTGTTGCACCCTGAAAGGAACATGAAACCATATCTCAAAGAGAGAAAGATGATTAGTATTACTTCTTGAATAAAAGGAGACTCACTGGTTGTATTATATTTCCACCTCCATCATGACATCCTATACAAGCTTTTTGAAATAATGATGCTCCTCGTTCTATATCTATAGTTTGTCCAACTGACACTGCAGCATAGAAGAGCTCAGAAAATTTACAGTAAATTTGGACTCTACACTATGGTAAATTGGCAATCATATTTCCCCAGAGTTTAATATCCTGAAAAACTGTGTTTTTTTCTAATGCAATCCATAATTTAGGGAGAGAAGAAAAAATGGCTAATTTCTCTTCATGATGCAAATAGATAACACAAAGTCCATCATAGAAACTAGTAATGACATTGTTAAGCAACTGTATGGTGGGATTCAAGTTAAACATCACCAAAACTTTACATCGAATTCAACATTTTAGCACTTAGTTAGAAATTAATGTTCTCTTGCTGACTTTCCCATATTCCACAAGCCTAACAGCTATAGCTTTGCAGAAAAACTCTCTTGATATCATGGAATGACTCGAAAAAAAAAAAAACCTCAATGATGGCAATGATGGCATATTCAATTTAGAAGCAAGGGCATCTAAGTAGATCCTTCTCTAACTTTTCTTTTTTAAATTAAGTGGAAAATAAGCTTCTCTGAGATAAGGTGGTAAATTAATTACCTGGGGTGTTGCTGATGGGAGATAAAACCACCAATGCAGCAACCAGAGATGGAGCCAATTTCGTTAAAACCCTCACATGTTTCTGCTTCATGGGAACTTCTGGGTCATGCCCATAACCCTCTTTTCCATTTCCCTTCAAAAACAAGTTCCATCTCAGTTTCCAGAACTTGAAGACAACAGAAAAAGTGTGGAAGAGATAAGATACCTTTGCTAATACGCAACAGAATCTGTTACTGCAACCAGACACAACAGAAAGAAGCGCCATTTTTTCTTTTCCTCACCCAAGTCTTCTCCTTTTACAAAGGGTGAAAAAATCATCGCCCTCTTTATTTGTTTATCAGAAAAAAGAAACAAAAATATGTTTTTTAATTCAAAGCTACAAAAAAAAAAAAAAAAGAATTCCAACCTTGAATTCATCAAAATATCCATAATAAAACTTTCTCCCATAATAATTTATTAAAGCTATTCTGATATTAATGTGAAATGTAAATTGAAAAGTAATTCAAAAAGGAAAATTTACCAAAAAGAAAAGGTTTTTTTTTACCTATTTGATTTCTCCCTTATCTTCTTCTTCCAATTTCCTGGGTGATTGATGGGTCTCGAGGTTGTGGGTCCACATCCAATGAGCACACGCCACGTTAGCTATGTTGCAGAAGTCTAAATGATGTAATTCGAGGTTGCTGGGTGCGTCAATGAAAATCTAGCCGTTTCCGGTGGCCGACGGGAGAAGATCTGATCTGATGCAATCCGTCCCACAACACCTAAATTACAACCCAAGCTTCCAGCCCTTCATCAAAGAAGAAACAAAAGAAGATTGGTTTTTTAGGCGGACTTCAAAACATAAAAACATAAAGGCCACTAATATTAATATCAAGAATTAGTAATGATAACCAAGGAACCACTTCTCTTTTTAGTGGAATGAATTCACTTTCTTTTTAGTAAAATTTTAAATTTAAGTTTTATAAATAAAAAAAATTAAGGTTGAAGGCTTTTTTTATAGAATTCAATATAATTTGATTTTGAATTAATTAGAATTTATTGTAGTTTTTAGATGCCAAAAGATTAATAAAAAAAAGAGTAATGATCTACGAACGAATTTGTGGGACAACAAGTGAAGCAATCTCAATAGTAATTACTAATTTGACCCTACTTTCACTTGTTCGTCCCTAAAATCATTCCGCAGATCATTACTCATAAAAAAAAATAATCTATTAGTATGATTAAAAAAGATCAAATTCCCTGAAATAAATTCTTAAGTTTGAGTTCTTTAAATGAAGTAAATCAAGTAATAAGTCATAAAAGAATTTTTATTTATAGTATCTAATAGAATTTTAGATTAATTAAAATTTAATATATTATTTTTAAATAAATTAATAAAAAAAGTTAATATCAAGAATTTTGTTTTTCACTTAATAATTTATATTTGACAATTAAATACAATTTAAATTATAAATTTTCTTTTGTCTGGATAAGTTGAAAAGATTTTATTGCTTGTGGGAAAAAAGTACAAAATTTTTAACTTGTGGGGCAAATTAAGGTTTTGTCTTGGTCATAATCCGTATCAGCTTTTCTTCTCTAGTCGTGTATGGTTTGTCTTTTTAAAATTTTTCCCTTCATTTTTGCTCTTGGGGTTCTCGAACGGTCCTATCCCCAAATCCAAACCCTAGCTTCATCTTCTCCTCCAGGAATTAAAACGAAGATTGTAAATTCTCCTCAAAGTCTCTGTCTTTTTGTTGATTGATTTAGGAATTTGGGGTGTTTTGATTTAAGAGTCATGGCGATGCTGTTGGAGAATATAGTTCAGGCGGTGGAGATGTGGTTGAAACTCAGGAGAAAGCAATCACAGATTTATGTTGACCCGAATCTTGACCCGGTTCTGTTGGTGCCTGGTATTGCTGGGTCCATTTTGAAGGCTGTGGATAATGAGAATGGGAGAGATGAGCGGGTTTGGGTTCGGATCCTTGCGGCTGATTATAAGTTAAGGACCAAGCTGTGGTCTCGGTTTGATCCGTCCACCGGTAAAGTTTTCATGTTTGGATGAATGTTTTGTGGTGCTCAGTTTGGCTTTCTTTTTGTTTGTTTAGGATGAATTGGAGGTCATTTCAGCTGCTTTAGTAGCATCTGTTATTAATTTTCCGCATGTTCAATGAATTTCTTCAGTTGGATTTTTGGGATGAAAGTTTTTCTTAACTTGTTTTGGGTTATAGAGGAACTGATTAAAAAATGATACTGTAGTAATGCTTAGGATTTTCCCGGTTTTTCTCTCTTTAAAGTTATTACATTCTTAATGCCAATTGCCAAGTAGTTAGAAATTTTGGTTGGTTTCAAGGATTCTACGAGAATTAGCAATTTTTGAAGGCATGATTACTTTTTAGCTGAATTTGATAGATTGGGTTACTGAGGAAGTGATTAGAAAGCATTATTATAGTAAAGCTTGGTTCCACATACGGGACAAAAAGAGGACAGTAGGATCTTCCAGGATTTTTCTTTTTGTAAGACTAAGTTAGAATGGCAAGAATATCTTGGAAATTTTTGTTTGGTTTATATATATATACTTTTTCAAAGATTTTGATGTCTTCTCTTAATGAGTCTTGATATGCCATGCAAAACAGGTAAAACAGTGTCCTTGGATCAAAAGACGAGTATTGTGGTTCCTGAAGACAGATATGGCCTCTATGCGATAGATATGCTGGACCCTGACCTGGTACATTGTATCTTCCTCCCTTTTAATTTGTGAGCTTTTAGAATATCACATTGGATGCTGATTTCTGGTTTTACTTTGATGATTTTTTAGACTCTTAGCATATGCAATTTTGCATCTTGAACCCTATTGTATAGTTCCTTGCAGACAATGAATCATGTGTATACATGAAGATTGAAGAGTTTGTAAGGAAGAAATTTTAGATTCTAAAATTCTGAGATAACCCTGATTTGAGTGTTGTATCATGTTGTAGATCTTCAAATTGAACATTTTTTTTTTTTTAATCTTAAATTGTTAACTAGTGATGGATTTTAACTACCCTTTCCTTTTCTGTAGATCCTTGGACGTGAGTGTGTCTATTATTTTCATGATATGATTGTTGAAATGCTCAATTGGGGTTTTCAAGAGGGGAAAACTCTATTTGGTTTTGGATATGATTTTCGCCAGAGTAACAGGTAAATCATTTTTGATAAACTAGATCTGTAATTCATATTTTGAAAGTAACATTCTGTTTTACATTTATTCTCATTTAAATGTGTTGATTTGTCCTTGTCTAATAATTGTGGATGGGGGCTTGATTTTATGCTTGTTATAGCTCTATGGTAATGCTTTAGAGGTTGTTGTCCAAGTTATTAAATTGTATACATATATGTATGGTATATTTGGGTAAAAGAATGCTCTATTGAAGCAAATGTTATAAATCTTGAAAGCTTCTGGAATCTATTTGTAAATCAACTTCACATTTGTCTGCTTTCAAGATGTTGTCTTTGTGTTGCATGAATATATAATTATGCTCTCAGAGTTTAGGCTTTGAGGATGTTGAGTCTTTCTTTGTCCTTTAGGTTTCAGGATACATTGAAGCACTTAGCAGAAAAATTGGAGTCAGTATATGAAGCATCAGGAGGAAAGAAGATTAACATCATAACTCATTCAATGGGGGGCCTTCTGGTGAAATGTTTCATGTGCCTTCACAGTGATGTAAGGGATCTACTTCATACTCCATCATCCCATCCCTCATCTTTTCTTGACGTGTTTTGCCATGTTCATGATATGGTGCTGAGTTTTGATGAAATATTAACCATAAAACATATGCACTCCTACATTCTAGATTTTTGAGAAATATGTGAAGAATTGGATTGCAATTGCTGCACCATTCCGTGGTAAGTGTATCTAACTTGTGCTGAACAACAGATATTCCTGCTGGTTGTAAAATTCTCTATCCTGTACGTCCTTACATAAAGTTGTTGTCCTGTCATATGAGAAAGTGCTGAATAAAGGAATTTGTATTTGTGCTAAACAATTTTGTTTTTGAAATTTGAAAATCACAGAAGCTTTATTGTGTGCTATTTGAGGGGATTGCTGAAATTGAAGGACAGTACTTGCCCTTTTTGTGATCCAATCCAATTGCTTTGCTTTTCCCTTAAATGTTTTTCAACGTTTTTATGTTTTCTATGTAAATTTATTTCTTGCATAACTAAAACTTATGTGTTTCTGTTGTTTAACATGCAATTTCAAATTTAACATAAAAAAAAAAGAAGAGATTGTTGAGTGAACTTGTTAGTTGAAATTACCATCAGAATTAAGAAGATCTCAGTAGTTAAGAGAATATTGAATTAAATTTTGGTTATATTTCAAGTTTATGGCACTGAGCTGAAATCTTGAGCATGTCAAACAGGTGCACCTGGATATGTTGCATCTACCTTTCTAAATGGAATGTCATTTGTTGATGGGTGGGAACAGAACTTTTTCGTTTCAAAGTGGAGCATGCATCAATTGGTATGACCTTTTATTATGGGAACATCTTTATACCTCTTGGTACATTCTTTATTTATTGGTGCTTTCAAGAACTTTGTTTCCATATTTTATGTTTCTATATGGATATCTATTACTGGTTCCTGTTAGCTTGTAAACTTTTACTTACTTCTTATGGGAAACATCTTTGTTAAGGAGTGATGCAAGGTTTTATGCTTTATGTAACTTTGGTATTTTTGTGATGATTAATTTAGTTTTGTCTTAATATGCCCAAACAATAATAAAGCTAGTATCTTTTCTGGACATGAATGATGAATCATGGCTAATCTGTTGCAAAAATTGTTCCTGTTGAACTGTTATAAGCTTACTAGTTACCATTAAATATTTTTCAACTCATCCCACTCTATCCTAACACAATTGGATGATGGATTACTGTGAGCTGGGCAGACACAGCATCTGCAAGGGCTAGTATATGTATATTATGGATTTCTTTTTCATCCATTGTTATTTGTTGTTTTCTTGGTTATTACTGGAGCTTCATATTGTTTTCTCTTGCTTCACTTTTCAGCTGATTGAGTGCCCATCAATATACGAGTTAATGCCCTGTCCAGATTTCAATTGGCAACATGATCCAGTTTTGGAGATCTGGAGAGAGAAACAAGATATTGAAGGAAACTCAAAGATTATTCTAGAGTCTTTCCACCCAAATGAGAACATAGACATTTTTAAGGAAGCTCTCTCAAGTAACACTGTAAGCTTTTGAACCCTTTATGTTTGAATAGTGTCGATTGTGAGTCTCATAGGCTCATGTCCAGGAAATAAAAAAAACAAAAAATAAAGTGTTTGAACTGCATTACTCTTTATAAAGGGTTTTGGATATTTTATAGTGTATGGCTTTGTTTTTGTGCTGAGGTGCGTGTCCTCAATAATTTCAGGTTGACTATGATGGAGAAAGTATTCCTTTGCCTTTCAATCTGGAGATCTTGAAATGGGCTGATGAAACACACAAGTTGCTGTCTAATGCTAAGCTTCCTTCTCAAGTTAAATTCTACAATATATATGCAACCAATCTAGAGACACCACATAGTGTTTGGTATGCTTCTATGAGATAGCATGAATACATAAGTGCTTGATTACCATTTCAGGATTTTATGGCTGCTGTTAATTGGTTTTTGTTTTTCTGTTAAGTGGTTTATATATCCCTAATTATTGTTTACTATTCTGCAGCTATGGAAGTGAGGACTCTCCTGTCACTGATTTACAGCAATTGCGGTTTTTCCTGGTAAGTAGTGCTGTAGTTCCCAGAGGCCATTTTAGGTCAATTACATGATACTGCAAACCCCAGCTCCCCCCGTTTTCTTTTCTCTGAAAAGCCTTGGGTTTTTTAGATATGTTAATTGGTTGCTGAAGATGACTTTTTCTTATTTTCAGCCTAAATACATATGTGTTGATGGGGATGGAACAGTTCCAACCGAATCAGCTAAGGTTTGCTAAGTTCTCTCTTGACAACCCTTTATATGATTTACTTGATTGTTTGTTCTTTTTGGATGCAAATGAAAAGGAGATATTTATGGTTTCTGAGCATAGAACTTGTGTATTTCAAAGGGTAAATGGATTTCTAGACAAAGAAAAAGAAGATTATGATTACAATCATCTGTCAAATAAAGTTCAAAGGTTATGAAATCAAGATAATATACTTTCAGGGTGTTTCACAGGTTTCTTTTTCCTGTCATGGTGTGTCAAACTATTCTTTTCTTAAAAATTCAGTTGGCAATTTCTTTGTTCTGTTAAATAAAATTATGACGGATATGAGATCAAGATATGTACCAGACAGGTGTTTCACAGGTTTCTTTATCAAGCTGTTCTTTTCTAAAATTTCAGTTGGCAATTTTTCTGATTGGTCACTTCTTTTCATAACACAGGCAGATGGGCTGAACGCAGAAGCACGGGTTGGTGTCCCTGGTGAGCACCGGGGAATTCTTTCAGACCATCACGTGTTTCGAATCCTTAAGCACTGGTTGAAGGCAGATCCAGACCCTTACTACAACCCATTAAACGATTTTGTGATTTTACCCACAGCATTTGAAATGGAAAGCCACCAAGAAAAAGGCTTGCAAGTTACATCACTCAAAGAAGAATGGGAAATCATCTCAGAAGATCAAGACAATCCTGATGATGCTGCAAACAGAAAGCCTATGGTCAGCTCAATATCCATATCACAAGGTGGAGATAATCAATCATCTCGGGCAGAGGCTCGTGCAACTCTTACCGTTCATCCACAGAATGAGGGTAAGCAACATGTCGAGCTAAACGCCATCAGCGTATCTGTTGATGCTTAGAGTCTGATTGATTATTGAACTCAAATCAATGTGAGGAAAGGCCTCCATGCTTCTCATATGATTTAAAATGGTGTATTCTTTTATATAAGAAAAGCTTATATAAGTATAAAGCCTGTTCATATGTGATGTAAATATCTTGTATCGTACTTCATTTCCATGGTAATAATATCATATTATTTGTTGAAGTTGCCGGTATCATTCCCATGCTTGGATTCTGGAAGACTACTAGAAGGTGGTGGTTGTTAGGTAGATACAATTCAACTCCAATGGTTCCACAACTGCATATCCAAACTAAAATATTTAGTTTGTGTCAAAAATATAAAAATGTTATGATTATAATATTACACGTAAAATTATAAATTTATTATAATTATAATATATTATTATATTTAAATAATATATTATTTAATATATAAAATATTATAAGTATATTTTAAAAATAAAAAATTAATTATATAACAACATTAGTATTACCAAATACCAATTTCACCAAAAATATTCCCTTCTCATAGGTTATGTGCTTCTTTATATATAAATATATATAAATAAAAAATATAGAAATAACTAAAACCAACCGTGCTTGATCATCTCCGTCCTTGTCTGTTGCCTATGCCAACACAGAACACTCTAAGTAACTACCACTGCCGCTGAGCAATCCAAAGCATAGTTCAAAAATTAATCAAGAATCCTAAATTCTCGATTCCCATTTCCTCAATTTCGAAGATGGGTAGGTCTCTCGTCTTCTCTACAAACACCCCACTCAGGTTTTCTCACCTACCCAGGTCGATTTCACCACTGAATCACCCAAACCAGAGCCAAGTTCGGATTTTTAGTGCCAGAATTGGGCTGTGGAACTCAAAATCCTTCAGAAAGCTATGCACAAGAGCTGTGTTATCAGGGATTCCCAATCAGAAACAGTACCAAAAAATGGGTGCCCAATCAACTGGACCAATCCCCCAAAATCAGCTCATTGAAGTTGTTGAGACTGCTGCCAAGACCGGCGCTGAAGTGTGCTTTCTTTCTCTTCTTCTCTACTTTGTTTTTGACCTGTTTACGTATCCCTGATACCGTATTTCATTTCTTGTGGTTTAGCTTGCAATTCATAATTTGTTTTGGGTTTGGGATAGTCCAATTCCTTTTTCTGTATTTTTCCTCAGGATCTGAATTAAAACATTCAATTTATTTTTTAGTTTTTTGTTTCACAGGTTCCGGGCTTCTCTTATTCTATGTTTTTATGCAGGTTGTGATGGATGCTGTTAATAAGCCTCGTAATATAGTGTATAAAGGACTGACTGACTTGGTGACTGAGTAAGGACTTTTGTAAATTGGAGTGAACTTAATGTCTTTCTACATTTCATTTACAAAGGATTAGGTTTTGGGGTGAATCCAGATAGACTAACAACTTCATGTGATTTTACTTGCAGCACAGATAAAATGAGTGAGGCTGCTATTCTAGAAGTAGTAAGAAAGAATTTTGGAGATCATCTCATACTTGGGGAGGAGGGAGGAATCATAGGAGATACCTCGTCAGATTATCTGTGGTGTATTGATCCTTTAGGTTTGTGCTTCACATCCTTTGTGCCTTATTTAAGGCAGTTTCTTTGTAGTTCTTGAGGGTAAGAGGTGTATAGATGGCCAATAGATTGAGATATCTCTCTCTGTTTTCTCAGAGATGTTTTAGGAGTATATATATTATGTAGGCACAACATGCAGTTACGCACATTATGTTGATGTTATCATGTTGCTAGGGCATTTGCCAATGCTTCATTTTATTCGTGATTGATCAGTAATTCCCTTACATGTCTATTTGGGTACCTTCATAGTTTATAGATATTAATCATCTATTAATTTAATCTTTGTAGATGGAACAACGAATTTTGCCCATTGTTACCCTAGCTTTGCAGTTTCTGTGGGAGTTCTGTATCGGGGTAGTCCTGCTGCTGCTGCTGTGGTATATTAATCATACAGCTTCAATTCCTTTTCATGTTATTGCATGATTCTACACCCATATTGTAGTCTATAGAGAATGCTGAATATAATATAGTATTGCAAAAATTCTGGTAATACTACCATATTCCATAATAAAGCAAAATACATGGAACAGTATCATCTTGCTTAGATTATCAGATACCTTCATTATATTTACCTTTGGATTCTAAAATGTCTGCAATTAGGATCTGCCCCTGTTTTCATAATTGATTTGGCCTGCAAATTTTCTTTTGTTTTTATCATTTATGACAGTGCATGTGCTTATGAGTTCAACTGTCATGTCAGTGTTTATCCAAATATTTCTGCATGTAAAATAAAAAACCATTTCCATTTCCAAACTTTACAAGTCATCGTGATTGTGCAGATGGAAAATTTGGTGTCATTTTCTCTTGGGAAAAGATTGTAGCCATATAATTCATCTTAATTAACATAGAAGAGGAAAACTTAAATGGTTGCATGCTTTATTGTTGATTTGGACGAAGGCAAACTAATATTGTACTTTTTTATCTTTAGGTGGAGTTTGTTGGGGGTCCTATGTGTTGGAATACCCGTATATTTTCTGCCACTGCTGGTAAGAAATTTCTAACTTGTTAAAACTTCTTTCCTACATTGTTTGATTCGTTATTTTTATGATTAAGTAATTGATTCTTATTTTCTCTAGGTGGGGGAGCATTTTGTAATGGACAGAAGATTCATGTTAGTCAAACTGATAAGGTGAAAATCATTTATATTTGAATTGTTTTCAACGTTTAATGTTGTATTAGCTTTAGCCATTTGCTGATAAGATATCATGTGCATGCTCAGAGGGACAAGTGTGAGAGGTCTGAATAGGCCTTTGCCACTCTATATACCTTCAAATAAGTAATGCCATCAATGAGCTTAAAATGTTTTATTGTATTCAACTGTTAGTATGCTTATATTTTCAAAAAATCTAATATTTGGACTTTTTCTAAGTACTCACTTGATTCCTTTATTTGTAGGTTGAGCAATCTCTTCTAGTCACTGGGTTTGGGTATGAACATGATGATGCATGGACTACCAACATTGATTTATTCAAGGAATTCACCGATGTTAGTAGGGTATGGATGATATTCTTTCCATGCTGATAAGATCCCCCCCTCTCCAAGTATCATAATTTATGCTTCCTTCTCACCATTTTCTTTTATAATTTCCTGCATTAAAATGTTTAGGGTGTAAGAAGGCTTGGTGCTGCAGCAGTGGACATGTGCCATGTAGCTCTAGGGATAGTGGAAGCATACTGGGAATATCGTCTGAAGCCATGGGATATGGCTGCTGGCGTTTTGGTAAAGCATTTATTTTATGAATGGTTTCATTGATGTGCATTGCATAATACTCAGCCCTGAGAGTTATCAAGAAAAGGATTATTAACTGATCTAGGCCATTGTTATTCTTTTGACATTCATATAATGGAAAGTGGGTGGTGATATTTTTAGTTATATGTTTGATGAATGAGTATTATGATTATCCAAATAGAGAAAATAAGGCATTAGGTATCTTGGATTTTCATCTCATGTTATTTCTTTTGTTTTCATCCATCAGATAGTTGAAGAGGCTGGTGGTACAGTTACTTGCATGGATGGTGGAAAATTTTGTGTGTTTGATAGATCTGTTTTGGTATCTAATGGGGTGCTTCATTCCAAGGTTAGATTTTCCTTTTTTGAAAATGAGATTATTTTAATAATCATTTTGTAATTCTTTTTGTTTCCCTTGTCATCTTCTCCAACACCCCTTGTCCCCACCCTCAAACATAAGGTCCTCTACTTCTCACACAGAAGCAGGTTTAAAGCTTTAGTTTGATGAATATTAGAAGAAAATAGGAATAGTGCAAGATCAAATGAAATAAGAACTAAAATATTAATGAGCAAGGGTCTTTCTACACATTGTATATTTCATTTTGTTTTCAAAATGCAGCTTTTGGAGAGGATTGCACCTGCAACAGCGAAACTGAAGAGCAAAGGAATTGATTTCTCACTATGGTTTAAGCCAGATAATTACCCCACAGATCTTTGAAATTCCCAACAATTCTTCTTTCATTTTTCGACCTACCTAGAAGGTGTTTGCAGCAAACAGGTGCTTTTCGTGGTTCCTTACCTTGTTACCTTTTTCTTTAATGATCTTAATAAGCTTGGGTTTATTTATGATTTTAGTTAGTAACTAAATATGATCATACATGAGAGATGTAAGACATTGAATAATAGGTAACTTGGTCCAGACTCATTGTACACTGAGGTATTTGTGTTTCTCTTTCTTATACACGTACAAACCGTTGTTTAAATAAAAAATAATGTTAAAATTTTTTAAAATATTATCTTAATGTTTTGGGCTTATGATGAAAAACGGTTCTGATTAGACATCTTGGAGTATGCTGTGGAATTGCAAGCAATCCTACCAATATTGTATGGTTGAAATGACAATGAGGTTATCTAGGAGGGAGTTAGGAGAATACTGCTGTTTGTTAACTATGCCATTCATCAGAGAATCTAGGAAGATGGAATGGTGCTTAGAAAAGCTTGTTCTTCCCGTATTGTTGTTTATTAATGAACTGATATGGATCAGTATGCGAATCTGCACCATAGAAGATATTAGCTACCCTAAGAAAGCTAAAACAGCAAAATTAAGGTGCTCCTTGTTTTCAATCTGCCTTTCAGTTTTCATTTTTGTCCATGCTGAAAAAGTTGGAGAAACATGAAATACTCTTTACTCTGATTATGTTTTCTTCATTAGAAATATCACGCAATTCTCCTTCTAGATTTATTTGAAGGATACCTAGTGCTTAATTCTTTGGCTGGATGATGGCACCTTTGATAACGAGTCCCGTCTTCCAGTTCCCACCTTCATATTCATACATAGAGAACTCTATTTTTCCAGCATTTGTTGGTGGGGTCTTAAACTCACCAACAGGGATCTCTATCCACTGCCCTCTTGGTTTTGCTATTAAATCCTCCTTGTGTTCTTGCTTGCTCCCATTTGGAAGAGTGAGCTTGATGTTCACTGGAACTTCCCATCCACAAGCCGGATCTTCCAACATAACAACAAATGCTACCTTATACAAGGTTTCCGGTGAGAGCTTTGCAGTGTTGAATTTTCCGTGCACTTCTAGCCAACACACATTCATCAGCACGGCTACAGGAATGGTCACATCACTGCATGCAAAACCCAGGGAATGGTTTGGAATACTCCAAAGTGATGGTAAAATAAATAATGAGGATTGATTGTTATTATTATGTTATGGGTCTTACCTAGTATCTTCTCGCCATTTCCAATATCTTTTGTCTTCAGCCCAAGTGATTGCAAGATCTTTTGCAAACAACATGTAGCAGTTCTTGTTTGATTTCTGATCAACCCAGTACTTCTGCCCAAGAAGAAAAAAGAAAAAAGGCGAACCGGTTTAACATATTGAAGTGTATGTAGGAGATGTGAATGCAATCAATACTTGCCTTTCTCTTTCCGCTTAACAGAACTCCAGCTTGAAGCTGAGCAGCAGACAGCTTAACTTGGGGCCTCCGATAATCTTCTGAGTCAGCCTTTTTCAAGATGGCGTCCTGGTTGAATGGGAGCTTTATTTCTTCCTTCTTACCTTGAACAACTGGTACGCGACTTGTTGGATCTATCTCCACAACCGAAATGGCTCTGACCTCAGAGGACTCCCCAGCTTCCTTTGTTTTCTGATCAGCTCTCGTGGTTCTGACATTAGAAGGCCTTGCTCCTGCTATACTCTCTGCCACCCGGGAATCACCTCGGCGGTTCTGTGCGTGGAAGCCACGGTTATCTTCATATGCTTGAGATTGTGAAGCTCCCATCTTTGATGAACATCTTCTTTCCAGGCAGTTCACCATTTATAACATGACAGGTCAACCATGGAATGAAATTAATTACCTAAGAAAAGTCTTGAAAATCATGTTGCATTGAGTCGGAAAGGATAACCCTTTTTCTGTAACATCAGAAAAAGGTTTTATTCTGTGAGAAGGCATCCGTCCAAAGTGGTGTGGGACTTTGAGCATCTGCTTTATGCAAAAAGGGAGAAGATAAGATGCCCTCAGAGCTGATGCTTTGACAGATTTAAGTCCCTTGGTTTCTTTTCCTTTACCCTTATTTCCGTCGATCCCAATAAGGGATTACTAAAAAAA